AACATTTTTGGAGTAGCTTCCCTTTCGCATACATACAGGTAGCCAATGATAGGGCGGGACATCATTCTGTGCGGAGCGTAAAATAATTCGAAAGAAAATGGCGCCTAGTTGTCGACTGCTACTGTGTAATGCAGGTGTGCGAGGGGTAAAATCCCCATATACCACTTGTCATGTGTAGAAACTGATCGACGTAGTATTTCAGAGAAGCGGGTAGCACATGTATTGGATTGAGGATATTAAATAAGGATTTAAACCATTCCTTGGATATATTTATCGAGTTTATCCGTGAAACTTGGTCATTTCTCGTGAGTATAGAATTTGGTTCGGTCGCAATTTAATGGTGTAATTGCGACTTTAAAGCGGTGTCAGTGGATAACTATGTGTCAGACAGTCGTAGTTATGGTTTCATTTTGTAAATAAATCAATTGTCTTCAATATTCAACCGAGGTATATCCAATATGGACAAAGATTTGTGATTGACACGAGCTGAAAGAGAAAAGGGGGTAACGGATTTTCGTCTGTCGTTATATCCCTTTGTATATATTAGTATAGGAGACCCCTATTTTTTTTATATTACAAGTAAAGCGATCCATGCCCCTGTGGTTATAATTTTATTCATACACAATGTGCAATTTGTTTTATATTGGTTATTACATTTGAAGTAATTCTATTGGTTGGTAATGCCTACTGTTTTATATTTGTATATATAAAGTGCTCTATTGTATGTTGTAAATTGTATATCATTGGTACAATTAATGTAAGAATTGTCTCTCTTTTTTGTTCAGTTTTTTTGTATCTTGATATTTTTTTTGTAGAATAAGTAAGTCCGGAAGATATTTATTTTTTGTCACCTATATTTTCTTTTCGTTGTCCTAAACGTGTTGCATTGGCACTCAACAGAATTTTATTGATTCATGTTATGGGCATTTTTGTTTGTTTAAGTATTATCGTTAGAAAATTACTCAGTTTTTTGTGTTTTGTTCATCAATATTGACATTGTCATTATTTTTTATGTTTTATATTTCTAATAAACCATTGTTCCAATAATATGTATTTTGTTTCATTTTGTTCAATTGAAATAATAAATGAAATAAGAGGCCCATGGGCCTTAATGGTCACCTGAGTCCTACAGTATTTATTTTTGTTGTTGACATATGTACCAATTTGAGTAAAAAATTGTTAAGTATAACGTTAACTTAAGTTTGTCAGGACCATGAGCTGATCTTTCCTAGACCGATATTCAGTTAGATCGGCCTATTAGAACTTGTTTTTAAGTATGAAATAGGTATTTTCAAATTAGTGGCCATAGCAGCCAAATTGTATTTCTGATCGACCGGAAAAATAACAAAACTTTATCAGGACCATGAGTCGATCATTCCTACAAAGTTTCAGTTCAATCGTCCTAGCAGAACTTGACTTTAAGTTTGAAATAGTTTTTCAAAATGGCGGCCGTGTCAGCCAAATTGAATTTCTGATAGACCTGCAAAATAACAACACTTTGTCAGGACCATGAGTCGATCATTTCTACAAAGTTTCAGTTTAATCGGCCCATTAGAACTTGACTTTAAGCTTGAACTAGTTTTTCAAAATGGCGGCCGTGTCAGCCATATTGAATTTCTGATAGACCCGAAAAATAACAACAATTTGTCAGGACCATGAGCCGATCATTCCTACAAAGTTTCAGTTCAATCGGCCAAGCAGAACTTGACTCTAAGTTTTAAATAGTTTTTCAAAATTGCGGCCGTGGCGGCCATATTGGATTTCTGATCGACCCGAAAAATAACAACACTTGGTCAAGGAGATGTCAGTGCGACGACGGACAAAGACCCATAGCAATAGGTCACTTGAGCTTAAAGCTCAGGTGACCTAAACAAAATCGAAATTTCAGATTTTCCAAAAAATCTGAAGAAAACCCCGCAAGGTATGGGTTATTGTTTAGAAATGATTTGCTTATGCAATAGCAATGCCGTAGACAAAAATCCTGTACTTCTACTTCATGAGAAATAGCGATAACAAACTTTCACTTTCAAAGTCCAAGATGGCTGCCTGTCGGCCATGTTGTTTATCCGATCAGTCTCAAAAATTGCCCTGCACAGCTAAGGACCAAGGGAACATACATATAAAATTTGAGAAAGATCCCTCTGGTACTTCCAGTGAAATAGCGATAACAAACTTTCACTATCAAAATCCAAGATGGCTGCCTGTCGGCCATGTTGTTTATCCGATTCAGTCTCAAAAGTTGCCCTGCACCGCAATATCACCCATGGCCACAACCCTCTACTGTACACTGCTACCTTATAAGGCCAAGGGGACTCAATTTTGTATAAATGATGGGTGTGGCCCCACTCGCGGAAGAGGAGAGGGGTCCAATGGGGGAAATAGAGGTTAAACTTTTAAAATCCTTCTGTCCTCTAATTTGTTTGATCGAGTCATGTTAACAGTTAATGAACCTTGAGGTAACTTTTGATCTAAACTTAATACTGATGCGTATGAAAGCCAACCTTCAAAGTGTGTTTGTCATTTCACATATTTACTAGTACAGTACTTAATGTGAAAGAAATAGAATTGATCATTGCAATATGAGAAAGATCTGTTTAGTTCTTCCTTTAGCCATTTTGTTCTAGCGTAAGGATAAAGTGATTTAATCATAATTTAGTCTGAAGAATCCTTGGGCAAAGGGGACTTTATTTTGTATAAACATTGGTTGTTGGCCCCCCTGGGGGCAGAGGGGTGGGCCGATGAGGGGAAATAAAGGTAAACCTTTTAAAAAATCTTCTTTTACCATAGAGATTGAGGGATTTCATCCCAATTTGGTATGGAGCATCCTTAGGCCTAGGGCACTCACTTTTGTATAAATAGTGGGTATGGCCCCCAGGGCAGACGGGCAAGGCCCAATAGGGGGAATAGAGGTAAAACTTATTGGGATTATTGGGATTTTATCCCGATTTTGTCTCCATCAAGTTGTCTTGTAGTGCCTGTATTACCTCATATCAAGTACTTTAACCATATCCAGGTGAGCAATACAGGCCCTCTGGGCCTCTCGATTGTAATCCCAACAAGTAAGGACCAAGGGGAACTTACATATAAAATTTGAGAAAGATCCCTCTGGTACTTCTTGAGAAATACTGATAACAAGAATTGTTTAAGGAAGGACGACAGACAGCGGACGACGGACGCAGTATGATTTGAATAGCCCACCATCAGATGATGGTGGGCTAAAAATACATAAGAATATAAAGTTTTGTGATTGTAGGTGGAATAACAAGGGAATCGTGCTCCAGAATAAATATCATTGATGCCTAGCATGCTAGCTGCAGCAATCCAGTCAGTCAGCCAGCCAGCCAGACGGACAACCCGTCAGCCAGATGGACAACCTGTCAGCCAGCCAGACAGAGGGACAACCTGTCAGCCAGCCAAACAGACGGACAACCCGTCAGCCAGGCAGCCAGTCAGCCAGATGAATGGACAGACGGATGGAAAGATATACGGACGACCAGTCAGCTAGACAGCCGACCGGATAAATAAACTACAATAGATCATGTATAAGACCAATTTTTAATTTCTTCACATCAGATATAACAACTTTTGATCAATAATTACAAAGTCACAATCAAAAATGTTCAAACGTCCACAGTGATACTGTTTTAACAGTTAGAATGCCAAATCATGACTGACAAAAAAGAAAGAAATGGCATTAGTCCCGTTCTCAACTCCATTTTCAAGATTTTTCTTTTAATGTAGCTGAAGATTTTCTCCCAGCTGCTGTAGAATTTGACTATGTTCTGGAAAATAAGTAAATAAAAGAATCATAGTACACTATACTTCAATACCTAAATTGTAATAATTATAATAATAATAGGTTCTTATGTACCGCTTTATCACAACCTAGTTCGTAGGTCGCCTCAAAGTAGTTCACAAATTATTATCAGCGGTTATAATTATAGGGCCTATGCAACCAGCGAATATCTATCTCAACTCCCTGGGGGGCATACAGCCGGAGCTGCCATTTGGGCACTCGCAGCAAGCATTCAACAATTTTAGCACTGCCAAACAACGTCTTCATTTACAGCTGTGTAGACTTGAACAAGCAGAATAAATTATCTTGATCAATGATTCAACACAGTCCTGTGACAGGGCAGTAATCCTATGTTGTTACTTGTAAAACACCAAGTGCAGTAACCCTATACTGTTACTTGTAAAACACCCAGGGAAGTAATCCTATACTGTTACTTGTAAAACACAGAGGGCAGTAATCCTAATCTATTACTTGTAAAACAAAGTGCAGTAATCCTATACTGTTACTTGTAAAACACCAAGTGCAGTAATCCTATGTTGTTACTTGTAAAACACCAAGGGCAGTAACCCTATACTGTTACTTGTAAAACACCCAGGGAAGTAATCCAATACTGTTACTTGTAAAACATAAAGTGCAGTAATCCTATACTGTTACTTGTAAAACACCAAGGGCAGTAATCCTATACTGTTACTTGTAAAACATTAAGTGCAGTAATCCTATACTGTTACTTGTAAAACACCAAGGGCAGTAATCCTATACTGTTACTTGTAAAACATAAAGTGCAGTAATCCTATACTGTTACTTGTAAAACACCAAGGGCAGTAATCCTATACTGTTACTTGTAAAACACAAAGTGCAGTAATCCTATACTGTTACTTGTAAAACACAAAGGGCAGTAATCCTATACTGTTACTTGTAAAACACAGAGGGCAGTAATCCTATACTGTTACTTGTAAAACACAAAGGGCAGTAATCCTATACTGTTACTTGTAAAACACAAAGGGCAGTAATCCTATACTGTTACTTGTAAAACACAAAGGGCAGTAATCCTATACTGTTACTTGTAAAACACAAAGGGCAGTAATCCTATACTGTTACTTGTAAAACACAAAGGGCAGTAATCCTATACTGTTACTTGTAAAACACAAAGGGCAGTAATCCTATACTGTTACTTGTAAAACACAGAGGGCAGTAATCCTATACTGTTACTTGTAAAACACAGAGGGCAGTAATCCTATACTGTTACTTGTAAAACACAAAGGGCAGTAATCCTATACTGTTACTTGTAAAACACAAAGGGCAGTAATCCTATACTGTTACTTGTAAAACACAGAGGGCAGTAATCCTATACTGTTACCTGTAAAACACCAAGGGCAGTAATACTATACTGTTACTTGTAAAACACAGAGGGCAGTAATTCTATACTGTTACTTGTAAAACACCAAGGGAAGTAATCCTATACTGTTACTTGTAAAACACAGAGGGCAGTAATTCTATACTGTTACTTATAAAACACCAAGGGAAGTAATCCTATACTGTTACTTGTAAAACACAGAGGGCAGTAATCCTAATCTATTACTTGTAAAACAAAGTGCAGTAATCCTATACTGTTACTTGTAAAACACCAAGTGCAGTAATCCTATACTGTTACTTGTAAAACACAGAGGGCAGGAATCCTATACTGTTACTTGTAAAACACAGAGGGCAGTAATCCGAAGCTATTACTTGTAAAACAAAGTGCAGTAATCCTATACTGTGTGCAGTAATCCTATGTTGTTACTTGTAAAACACCAAGGGCAGTAATCCTATACTGTTTCTTGTAAAACACCAAGTGCAGTAATCCTATACTGTTACTTGTAAAACATAAAGTGTAGTAATCCTATTCTGTTACTTGTAAAACATAAAGTGCAGTAATCCTATACTGTTACTTGTAAAACACCAAGGGCAGTAACCCCATACTGTTAATTGTAAAACACCAAGGGCAGTAATCCTAATTATATATATATATATAATCTGTTACTTGTAAAACACCAAGGGAAGTAATCCTAATCTGTTATTTGTAAAACACCAAGGGCAGTAATCCTTATTATATATATATATATAATGTGTTATTTGTAAAACACCAAGGGAAGTAATCCTATACTGTTACTTGTAAAACACCAAGGGCAGTAACCCCATACTGTTAATTGTAAAACACCAAGGGCAGTAATCCTAATTATATATATATATATAATCTGTTACTTGTAAAACACCAAGGGAAGTAATCCTATACTGTTACTTGTAAAACACCAAGGGCATTAATCCTATACTGTTACTTGTAAAAAACAAACGGCAGTAACCATATACTGTTACTTGTAAAACCACCAAGGGAAGCAATCCTAATTATATATATATATAATCTGTTACTTGTAAAACACCAAGGGCAGTAATCCTAATTATATATATATATATAATCTGTTACTTGTAAAACACCAAGGGAAGTAATCCTAATCTGTTATTTGTAAAACACCAAGGGCAGTAATCCTTATTATATATATATATATAATGTGTTATTTGTAAAACACCAAGGGAAGTAATCCTATACTGTTACTTGTAAAACACCAAGTGCAGTAATCCTATATTGTTACTTATAAAACACCAAGTGCAGTAATCCTATACTGTAACTTGTAAACCATTACGTGCAGTAATCCTATACTGTTACTTGTAAAACATAGAGGGCAGTAATCCTATACTGTTACTTGTAAAACATAGAGGGCAGTAATCCTATACTGTTACTTGTAAAACTCCAAGGGCAGTAATCCTATACTGTTACTTGTAAAACTCCAAGGGCAGTAATCCTATACTGTTACTTGTAAAACTCCAAGGGCAGTAATCCTATACTGTTACTTGTAAAACACCAAGGGTAGTAATCCTATACTGTTACTTGTAAAACACAAACGGCAGTAACCATATACTGTTACTTTAAAAAACACCAAGGGCAGTAATCCTTATTATATATATATATATAATGTGTTATTTGTAAAACACCAAGGGAAGTAATCCTATACTGTTACTTGTAAAACACCAAGGGCATTAATCCTATACTGTTACTTGTAAAAAACAAACGGCAGTAACCATATACTGTTACTTGTAAAAACACCAAGGGCAGTAATCCTAATTATATATATATTTAATCTGTTACTTGTAAAACGCCAAGGGAAGTAATCCTATACTGTTACTTGTAAAACACCAAGGGAAGTAATCCTATACTGTTGCTTGTAAAACACAGAGGGCAGTAATCCTATACTGTTACTTGTAAAACATAGAGGGCAGTAATCCTATACTGTTACTTGTAAAACACCAAGGGCAGTAACCCCATACTGTTAATTGTAAAACACCAAGGGCAGTAATCCTAATTATATATATATTTAATCTGTTACTTGTAAAACGCCAAGGGAAGTAATCCTATACTGTTACTTGTAAAACACCAAGGGCATTAATCCTATACTGTTACTTGTAAAAAACAAACGGCAGTAACCATATACTGTTACTTGTAAAACACCAAGGGCAGTAATCATAATTATATATATATATAATCTGTTACTTGTAAAACGCCAAGGGAAGTAATCCTATACTGTTACTTGTAAAACACCAAGGGCAGTAATCCTATACTGTTACTTGTAAAACATAGAGGGCAGTAATCCTATACTGTTACTTGTAAAACATAGAGGGCAGTAATCCTATACTGTTACTTGTAAAACACCAAGGGAAGTAATCCTATACTGTTACTTGTAAAACACCAAGGGCATTAATCCTATACTGTTACTTGTAAAACACAAACGGCAGTAACCATATACTGTTACTTGTAAAAACACCAAGGGCAGTAATCCTAATTATATATATATATATAATCTGTTACTTGTAAAACACCAAGGGCAGTAATCCTATACTGTTACTTGTAAAACACCAAGGGCATAAATCCTATACTGTTACTTGTAAAACACAAACGGCAGTAACCATATACTGTTACTTGTAAAACACAAAGCATATCCATTTATCTGTCTTGTAGATGAAGGCTATTTACAATTAAAATCAATCTCAAGATGGTAAACTTAAGAAAACAACTGAAATTTGTAGATAAAAATTGAAAACTCCACTGCAGTTTCAGTGATTTAAATAGAAAGGACCAAAATGTTCTTGTGTCTTAAACAAAACAGGGGATTTAAAGGACACTGCATTGTGACCCAACAACCCTTCCAATAGGAAAAGATGACTCCCCATTTTTCAACAGGCATATACAAAAAGTTGAAATATGGAACAACACAGTCATCAAATTAAAGACGCACACTTTTTTTAAACAATATGGTATAGACCCCTCTGCCTTTAAACAATATGGTATAGACCCCTTTGCATTTGAACAATATGGTAAAGACCTCTCCGCCTTCAAAAAATGGTATAGACCCCTCTGCTTTTAAACAATATGGTATAGACCTCTCTGCCTTCAAACAATATGGTATAGACCCCTCTGCCTTTTAACAATATGGTATAGACCCCTCTGCCTTAAGCAATATGGTATAGACCTCTCTGCCTTTAAACAATATGGTATAGACCCCTCTGCCTTTTAACAATATGGTATAGACCCCTCTGCCTTTAGCAATATGGTATAGACCCCTCTAGTTATAAACATTATGGTATAGATCCCTCTGCCTTTAAACAATATGGTATAGACCTCTCTGCCTTTAAACAATATGATATAGACCCCTCTGCCTTTAAACAATATGGTATAGACCCCTCTGCCTTTAAACAATATGGTATAGACCTCTATGCATTTAATCAATATGGTATATACGTTTAAATCATATTCCATGTACTTACTTTTTCATAGCACTGAATGAGTTGCAGCCCTCAATCTTACTGAAGCCGACCAGACTGCGTTTGCCCACTATTCTTCCAATATGATACAATACAAATATTTCCGCACACACAAAGCCATTTATTATCACTTGCTGAAACATAATCAAAGGCTATTGTCATGATTTATTTTATAGGGTAACATAAAAGTATCACACATCATAATCAGCTAGTCTACAGACTATAGGACTATATATATACAAGTAGCTACAGACTATAGGACTATATATATACAAGTAGCTACATACTATAGGACTATGTATATAAGTAACTACATACTATAGGACTATATCTATACAAGTAGCTACAGACTATAGGACTATATATACAAGTAGCTACAGACTATAGGACTATATTTATACAAGTAGCTACAGACTATAGGACTATATATACAAGTAGCTACAGACTATAGGACTATATATATAAGTAACTACAGACTATAGGACTATATATATAAGTAACTACATACTATAGGACTATATATAAGTTACTACATACTATAGGACTATATATATAAGTAACTACATTCTTTATGACTTTATATATACAAGTAGCTACAGACTATAGGACTATATATACAAGTAGCTACAGACTATAGGACTATATTTATACAAGTAGCTACAGACTATAGGACTATATATATAAGTAGCTACAGACTATAGGACTCTGTATATACAAGTAGCTACATACTATAGGACTATGTATATAAGTAACTACATACTATAGGACTATATCTATACAAGTAGCTACAGACTATAGGACTATATATATAAGTAACTTCAGACTATAGGACTATATATATACAAGTAGCTAAAGACTATAGTACTATATATAAGTAACTACATACTACAGGACTATATATATACAAGTAGCTACAGACTATAGTACTATATATATACAAGTAGCTACAGACTATAGGACTATATTTATACAAGTAGCTACAGACTATAGGACTATATATATACAAGGAGCTACAGACTATAGGACTATATATATACAAGTATCTACATTCTATAGGACTATATATATACAAGTAGCTACAGACTATAGGACTATATATATAAGTAACTACAGACTATAGGACTTTATATATAAGTAACTACAGACTATAGGACTATATATATACAAGTAGCTAAAGACTATAGTACTATATATAAGTAACTACATACTATAGGACTATATATAAGTTACTACATACTATAGGACTATATATATAAGTTACTACATACTATAGGACTATATATATAAGTAACTACATTCTTTATGACTTTATATATACAAGTAGCTACAGACTATAGGACTATATTTATACAAGTAGCTACAGACTATAGGACTATATATATAAGTAACTACAGACTATAGGACTATATATATAAGTAACTACAGACTATAGGACTATATATATAAGTAACTACAGACTATAGGACTTTATATATAAGTAACTACAGACTATAGGACTATATATATAAGTAACTTCAGACTATAGGACTATATATATACAAGTAGCTAAAGACTATAGTACTATATATAAGTAACTACATACTACAGGACTATATATATACAAGTAGCTACAGACTATAGGACTATATATACACACAAGTAGCTACAGACAATAGGACTATATATATAAGTAGCTACATTCTATAGGACTATATATATAAGTAGCTACATTCTATAGGACTATATATATAAGTAGCTACATACTATAGGACTATATATATAAGTAGCTACATTCTATAGGACTATATATATAAGTAGCTACATTCTATAGGACTATATATATATATAAGTAACTACATACTATAGGACTATATATAAGTTACTACATACTATAGGACTATATATATAAGTTACTACATACTATAGGACTATATATATAAGTAACTACATACTATAGTACAATATATATGTAACTACATACTAAAGTACTATATATATATAAGTAACTACATACTATAGAACTATATATAAGTAACTACATACTATAGGACTATATATATATATATAAGTAACTACATACTATAGGACTATATATACGTAACTACATACTATAGTACTATATATAAGTAACTACATACTACAGGACTATATATATACAAGTAAATACATACTATAGTACTATATATAAGTAACTACATACTATAGTACTATATATAAGTAACTACATACTATATGACTATATATAAGTAACTACATACTATAGGACTATATAAAAGTAACTACATACTATAGGACTATATATGTATATATAAGTAACTACATACTATAGTACTATATATATAAGTAACTACATACTATATGACTATATATAAGTAACTACATACTATAGGACTATATATAAGTAACTACATACTATAGTACTATATATATACAAGTAGCTACATACTATAGGACTATATATATATAAGTAACTACATACTATAGTACTATATATAAGTAACTACATACTATAGTACTATTTATAAGTAACTACATACTATAGTACTATTGATAAGTAACTACATACTATAGGACTATATATGAATATATAAGTAACTACATACTATAGTACTATTTATAAGTAACTACATACTATAGTACTATTGATAAGTAACTACATACTATAGGACTATATATGAATATATAAGTAACTACATACTATAGTACTATATACATATAAGTAACTACATACTATAGGACTATATAAAAGTAACTACATACTATAGGACTATATATATATAAGAAACTACATACTATAGTACTATATATATATATATAAGTAACTACATACTATAGTACTATATATATATATAAGTAACTACATACTATAGGACTATATATGAAATATCTGTAGAATGGGTCTGCCTGCCAACTATACATACTATGTACACATAAATAGTGTTAAATACAATAAAAAAAAATGTAATCTAAAACCAAGTTGATCAATATTTACAACAATAAATCACCTTCATAGTCAGGGAAGGAATTCTTTTGTAATCAATGGCTTGCCTAAATCCCTTTGATATCTGTGGACCATCAGCCAGACCAGGGGGAGCAAACTCCACCTTGGCAATATTCCAATACCGAATTAACCTTGGCTGTTGTGCTGGAAAAAAACAACTATTATTTTAGATCATTTAAAAGAATTTTATCATATTTTGTAATTGCAAATTCACTGGTGCCCTTGTTTAAATTTTATGTAGAACAATTCTTATTGTTATAGACAATAGTATCAACATTCAAATACTTACTGTAATAAAGACGTGTATACTGGTCAGTTGTGCACTAGCTAGCTGTACTGTACATGTAGTACAACTATTCTACATGGCTTGTGGATTTGCACAGTTTGGCCATCACTCAACAAGATTCATCGTGACTATTTGTTCAATTAACCTCAAAATATAAGCAATTATCACTTTACAGTCCATATGACAATATACATGCATTAATAAACAAGAGGCCCAATGGGCCTGAATCGCTCACCTGGTATTAATATCACACCTGTAATCTTAAAAGTGGACTAAAATACAGCTACAGGCAGAATATATATCAGTGTTTGATTCACAAGAACCTATTAAAAGATTTCAACATATGACGACCGTGACCTTGAATGTCAAACAAGAACATTAGGTTGAACAGAGTTTATAGTCGTCCAACCAAGTATGCTTTTGGCAAAATATCATTACCCTGGACTTTTGGGTTATACAGAACAAGTCATTTAAAGATTTAAACATATATTGACCACTGTGACCTTGAATATGGGCTAAGGTCATTCATTTGAACAAACTTGGTAGCCCAGCAAATTACTGACCAAATATCATTATCCTAGGCCTCTTGTTTCATTTAAAGGTTTCCCTTTCGGGCCAGGTGAGCTAAAAACTATTTAACATAATTATTTTCCTAAGATTATTATCAAACCTGTTGATATAAATTATTTTTCCCCTCAAAGATACTCTAATATTAGAAGGATCCTCTTGGTCCAAGTTAATATAAATTCATCCATAATCAAGAAATATGATTTACCTATATTCCCTTGCTTACTGGGCTCTACCCCTGCCCCTCAACCTTTAGGGAGTTAATGCCCCTTGTTTATATATGTTATTGATGTTCCCATGCATGGTCGAACCTAACTCCAAACCAAAAGATCTAGACGTTAAAATTCCTTTGCTCCTACCCAATCAGTAGTTTTAAAGATCTTCCTGTATTTTCCCTACTAGGCCCTATATATGCTTCTGCTCCCAAAATAGCCACACCCTCTGTTTATCCAACATTGAAATTGAATCCTTCCCTCCTTTACACAATGGTGAATTTCCTTGACCAGAAGCTAACAAGGTCCTCTAGACCAATGTCCTTGAACAGAAGCTAACAAGGTCCTCTAGACCAATGTCCTTGAACAGAAGCTAACAAGGTCCTCTAGACCAATTTGAATTAAAATCCTTTAAAGGTTATAACAATTAACTGATCTTTTGAGGTATAGACCAAAAACCAGTTTTTGGTCTATACATTGATCGGACAATTCATTATCTTGTCCAAAAGTTATATTTTAATTCTAAAACTAGACCGGAAAACTTTACTGAATAAAATGTGTCTATTTCATTTAAAAAAAGAAGAAGATTGGCATAGAAAAAAAAATGCAAATCCATTAAAAATAATTTCAACTTGCTTGAAATATTGAAAGATGAAAACCTAGGTACATTTTCCTGATACAAAATTTGAACAAGTAGGTTCAACAAAACAAACTACACACATGTAGATCAGACTTCGAGTCCCTAATTACCTTGTGCTGACCAAATTCAGGCTTATAATTACGATACTGCAGTAGGTCCTATATGGGGATATACCTAACAGCTATTAGTTCAAGTCTACAATGGTTCCTACCCAAATTTTCTGTCAAGCATTAACATTTCCGTCTTTGATCATGCATTTTATCTATATTCATGGTCACTATGAAACATTATGTGAGAAATCCTTGCTGTTCTAAAAACATGTCATCGTGTGTTAGTGAATATCGAGATATTGGCCTATACTTTCCCAAAAACACACACGTGGTTCCAGAAACCGGTTCAATGTTACCGTTATTGTTGTAACCCCAAATCTTCACGTTTTCAACCAAGGACTCTACCCCAGACTGTAACAACCAAATGAATATATTTAAAATTTAGATGAAAATACATTTACCTATAGATTTACCTACTGTATAATTCCCCTATCCCACATTCTCGACCAGAAGACTTTTTAGTGAAACAAGAGGCCCAATGGGCCTGCATCGCTCACCTGGTATAAATCTCACACTTGTAACCTTAAAAGTGATCTTAAATAAAGCTACAGGAAAATTAAGTCATTAAGTTGAACAAATTTTATAGCCTTTCATCTCAGGATGCAACTTGCAAAGTATCAACATCCTGGGACCCATGGTTATTCAGGAGAGGTTGTTTAAAGATTTTAAACAAATTTGACCCATGTGACCTTGAATATAAGTCAAAGTCATTCACTTTAACAAACATAGTAGTCCTTGATCCCAGCATGCTACTGACTAAATATCATCACCCTGTGCATTTTGGTTATTCAGAAGAAGTTGTTTGTGTTTTTCACATATTTGACCCCTATGACCTTGAATTTATGTGAAGGTCATTCATTTGAACAAACATCATAGCCCTTTACCCCAACATGCTACTGGCCAAATATCATCACCCTGGACATATTGGTTATTGAGAAGTTGTTTTAAAAAAAACAACATATTTGACCCCTGTGACCTTGAATATGGGTGAAGGTCATTTATTTGAACAAACTGTGTAGCCCTTTATCTAAGCATGCTACTGGCCAAATATCAACACCCTGGGCATTTTGGTTATTGAGAAGAAGTTGTTTAAACTTTTTAACATATTTGACCCCTGTGACCTTGAATATGGGTGAAGGTCATTAATTTGAACTTGTAGCCCTTCATCTCAGCATGCTACTGGCCAAATATCATCACCCTGTGCGTTTTGGTTATTCAGAAGAAGTTGTTTGTGTTTTTCACATATTTGACCCCTATGACCTTGAATTTATGTGAAGGTCATTCATTTGAACAAACTTGATAGCCCTTTAACCCAGCATGTTACTGGACAAATATCATCACCCTGGGCATTTTGGTTATTGAGAAGAAGTTGTTTAAAGTTTTTACCATATTTGACCCCTGTGACCTTGAATATGGGTGAAGGTCATTAATTTGAACTTGTAGCCCTTCATCTCAGCATGCTACTGGCCAAATATCATCTCCCTGGGCAGTTTGGTTATCGAGAAGAAGATGTTTAAAGTTTTTAACATATTTGACCCCAGTGACCTTGAAAATGGGTGAAGGTCATTAATTTTAACAAACTTTGTAGCCCGTCATCTCAGTTTGCTTCTTGCCAAATATCATCACCCTAGGCCTTTTGGTTATTAATAAGTCGTTTAAAGTAAAATATTGACGCCGGACAGACGGACGGACGCCCCGCCACCGCATAAGCTCACTTGGCACTTCGTGCCAGGTGAGCTAAAAATCATAGATGGGTGATGCACCACTACAAATAACTTAGCCCTTCGTGATAGATGGGTGATGCACCACTACAAATAACTTAGCCCTTCACTTGCCCTATCTTCAATTTTCTATTTTCCTAAAAATTCTGTGCCCAGCCATAAGTCTTTGTACTTAATATTTATATCTGTAGACAATGCGTTAATGAACTTAATCATTACTGTAAGCATATTTATACTAGCCTTGTTTTCACTTTCCAAACTTAATTTTCCTCAATTTGTACTATTGCATTTTCCTGTGACAACTGTGGATATAGCTAAGTTTCCTCTGGTTCTGACACCAAATTTAGACATTTTGACAGACAACTATATATATAATATAGAAAGCGATAAATAGTTTTAAATGTCCATGTAACAGTAAAAAAATATAAATAAAACAAAACATGAAGACTAGTATAATCGTCTAGCGCTGGAGCCAACAAGATGGGCGAAGGCACTAGCCGTCTATACTAGTCTTCGTGTTTTGTTTTATTTATATATATATAAAATATATACTTTTAAATGTATATTTATATATACTTATTTATGATCTACTATATATATATATATATGGGACAAAGAAGTAATTCCAACAGTGTGGACAAGTTCAGGTTGTCAAATTTTCGGAGCGATCCGCTCCTTTTTCAAGACAGTGAAACAGAACAGTTACATGTACATCATATTACAAGAAGATAGAATTGATATACTATAATTGAAAATATAGCTATTATGTAAAACCAACAGTCCCCTCAGCTAAAGACAGCCGAAGGCAGCAATTACGCTGAGAGCATCACAGACAAGGAACGCTGATGTAGAGGACCTATTTATTTATTATCTACTATATATATATATATAGATGACTGGTGTGGGGCCAGAATGCACTACTGTAGAGCTGAAACGAATATTAAAAATTTGGCATTTAAATATTCGTTTGTTGTGTACAAATAGTATTTGAAAATTCAAATGGAAAGTTTGACATTATTAAAACTGTGTGTGTTTTACATACTTGATGTGAATGTTATTTGAGCAATTAATATTACGTCCCAATACATTTGAAAGTGATAGAAATATGCCAGTGGTGCGACTTTCAGTTCCTAAAGTTTTTTAGACTTGTATCAAACGAAAAATATATGTCTGCTATATCTGGAGTACTAGTGTACTTGAACATATAACATTAATGACCAGCTGGAAGACAGATGCCAACCTCTTTGTTTTGTTATCATGTCAAAACTTTGTAAGTCATCATGATCGATCATTATCAGGCAACATCGGTCAACAAGAAATCTATTCATAATGTCTGTCATTTCAGCTGCATCACAACAGACATGCTCATAGACAACTTAATTGACAAAATGTTGATGTGAAAACCAACAGATATGTAAATATATGCTCTCAGAGTCAGTTGACCGCCTGTAACTAACAAGCGTCAGAATCACTCGGATGTGCTTTTTAATATTTTACAGTGTATATTTGAAGAGTCTTCTATTTTGGTGATCACTTACACTTAACAAACATCATGGCCTTCAAAGAACCTACACTATATTTACGATTTCACGTTAGCAGCATGTTCATTCTGTATCTAACACATATCAATTCAAATTGATGAATAATTTATAGCTTATATTATAATGTAAATGGAAGCTGGAATCAATTAAATGAAATCAGTTTGGATAAAAAAAATCAAAAAAAACCCAGCTGCATGTTTGCTTTTAATTCATCATGACAGGGCTGATATTTGATGTTTCTCAGGGCTGTATTTCTCCCTCACAACTTTTGTTCTTGCTGTTATGATATATAAATGAGTAATATGACTTCAGCAAAACTACTCTACACAACTTGAATGAACGAAATTACATTAGCTGCTAGCATAGTCAATATTTGATAATGCTCGTCTTGAACAAGATTAAAGCATTGTACTGTCCTGTGCTTTGATTTCTTGGTCAATGTTATAACATTATTTTACTGAGTTGTTGTCCATCGTGCCAATGTGAAGCATGCATTATAAGTTTTCAAAAGCAAATTTGTGTATGCTATATAAATGTTAACCGTCAGCTGTGGATCATCTCATAGCTATATATAGTGCAAAACCAAAGTTACGGCAAATTTGGACCTAGATACAAGAATGAAATATTGCTTATTTACCTCTGCACAGTTTTATCATATTCATTGGATTTTAATGGGGTTTTTTCCCCCCGATACAAACCGCTATGAACAGCAATTGTTTTAGAAGAATAAAACCTTTGATGTTCCTACGGTTTAAAAGAACTCCGTGTGCTTTTATTCCCCCATTCAGTAATAAAATTGTTCCTCAACACGGTAGCCGTTACCTAAATGCAGGATTATTACCCATACTTAGTATGCACCGTTGTGCCCAACCGCCTGTTACATGCTTCCCGAAATTGTCCTTGAAATGTCCTTTTAGACATCCAATTGTTAATTATTATTTTTAGATCAAATCGAGTGAATGGTGTAATTAAAGTACAACTGAAGTGAATCCTTTTCACCCTGACACGTTGGACAGATCATGCGGACCGGTTAGCAAGTCCATTCCAAATCGTATTATAACATCTGCAGAAGTAACGAACTTTCACGTTACCGAAAATCGTATTATAACATCTGCAGAAGTAACGAACTTTCACGTTACCGAAGCACGGTCTACCCCATGCCGCCCGGTCAGTCTGAAGGACAATGCAAATTCTCTCGAAGAGGGAGCCGAGCTCAATAAACTCACATATAAATGTGATTTTTATGAGTCTACAATCATATACCTTTTGCCAACTCTGCTCCTTTGAGCATAAGTGGATTGAGTTTCTTCGCCATGGCCGCCATTGTGCTGTCGAAGGGCAAACTTCTAGGTCTGTGAAATACTTCAATGCAAGAGATCATTACAAGCCTTCGAAGGACACTGTTAATATGAGGCCCAAGAAGGGAGAACTGTTAACCAATCGCCTCGCTCCAGGAAGTATGACATACGAGAGCGCTACCACTAGACTATACCACCCGACCCAGCATATAAGTTACACAAAAGTAAAGAACAAATCTCTTCCTTTTAAATAATGTTGTCCTTCAAACAAAAAACTATATCGTGAATACCAATTATCTATGACCACGAACTTAGATAGCACAAAAATTCTCCAAAACTAACGGTCTTAAATGCTCACTAAGACTTGCCTACTTTGAAGAAAGCTTATTCTTATCTTATTCTGAATCAAGGTTTTGAACTTTGAATTATTTTAAATCGGTAAAATAAAAAAGATAAAAAGGAGAAAAAATGTCGCTGTCAAGTTGTTTCTTTGGTGTATTATTGTGATATAAACAATAGTTTTTCTTACGTCATACTTCCTGGAGTGAGGTGTGACATGAAAATGTGAACCGCGTCGAAACCAACCCTACGAAAGAAATCTTACCCGGGCAGCCGTAGAAAACATATACCCCCTAACTATTTGTTTTCATTTCGTCCTGTGAAAAAGTGACCCCTGTAGAAAAGTGACCAATATCTTAAGAAAAGGAAACACATACATCAACCTTTATGCACGTTCGTATGGTTGAACCAATCCTGATGTGCATATAGTAATCTTCCAAAGACGTTTTGGAGGATTTAGATCATCAGTAGATAAAGAATAAAATAGGTTGACTACTAATCTGACCCAAGTCTTCAGTCCTATTTTACATGTACACTTCTGTTATCAATTAAGAACGTGCTTAAACCAGTAATAGAGTAAGAAATAAAATCACAGTAATATTTACTGCAAAACATTATATATACTACGAATGTTTAAACATTATATATACTACGAATGTTTAAACATTATATATACTACGAATGTTTAAACATTATATATACTACGAATGTTTAAACATTATATATACTACGAATGTTTAAACATTATATATACTACGAATGTTTAAACATTATATATACTACGAATGTTTAAACATTATATATACTACGAATGTTTAAACATTATATATACTACGAATGTTTAAACATTATATATACTACGAATGTTTAAACATTATATATACTACGAATGTTTAAACATTATATATACTACGAATGTTTAAACATTATATATACTACGAATGTTTAAACATTATATATACTACGAATGTTTAAACATTATATATACTACGAATGTTTAAACATTATATATACTACGAATGTTTAAAGTAAAGTTACACACTCACCTGTACCATTATACCCTGTTGTAGCTGCATTATCAGTTGGTGTTCATTATTATTTCCAGACGATGTTTTGACATCGATGATTTGGTAGAAGTGGTTTTTGGCAATTCTCTACCATCTATACACATATACAAACTCGAATACATCGTGATTATTAATTTCGTTATCAATCAACATTAAAATAACAGGGATTCAGAATAGAGGTATATGTCTATAAACGACACTGAAATATCTTGGCATCGTGTAGAAATATTTTTGTCCGTCTTAACAGTTGAAAAACTCAACAGGAATGTTAGCTGAGACATATTTTTGTCATTGAAATGAACCTATTCATCTGCTTAATGTTCTGTCGCTTATACAGTCATATTCAACCAGGTTTACATAGTGTTGTCAGCTGTACTCAGGGATCCGTACAGACCGAATCATTTTCGAAAATTAACTCCGTACAAAACGGATCCTCGCGGAAATGTTGTTGCTTGAAAAATAGACTAGTTATATTATTATATGAAAGAAAATGAGCCAGACCATAGGGAGTTAGGAAAGACATTGGCTGGTTGCAAAGGCCCTATAACCACAGATAATAATTTGTGAACCGCTTTTAGACGACCTGCGAACTAGGTTGTGATAAAGCGGTATATACGAATCTCGAACTATATATATGACAAGATCACGATATGATCATAAAAATCGTTTGATTAATGTGGCACTGATTGGTCATTTCCAATATTTTGGTATTGTGATATTTGAACATTGGTCTAATCGTCATATTTTGTATTGGTAAAAAACTCAGCCTTAGAATATGTAAAAGATAAAATAAATAAATGTGTATGCGACTTAGCTTACACTGCTCCGCACTGACCGGACCACTCCGTATAGCGGGTACCTTGGTGTGTACAAACATCATCCGAAATTTCAACAACCCAGGTGGAGATAAAATGGTCTTGGGTGGATGTTGCGGTAGTCCGAATTATTCTGACGTTTTATCAACTTTTTTTTTTTTATATCGGTCTGTCGTCGGTTAGTCGACGACAGACCGATATACAAAAAAAGTCGATAAAACGTCAGAAAAATTCGGACTAATGTTGCGGTATCTGTGCTGTATATTAGCATTCAAGTGAGGTGGCACTATAAATGACACCGTTGGAAGCACAGTCCAACTACAAACAGAATACATTACATCTCCATCACACACGCAGGCATACACACAAAGGGAGATATTAGTCAGGTGACATAGGACTAGTAGTTAGCGCATGATAAGGCAGCTCCTGCGAATTCCTCAAAAATGTATTCATTTAAATGCTAATTGTATTAATTGTATATTTATGTACTGTAAAGCGCTTTATAGTGGCTTATGTTAGCTACATAGGGCGCTATAACAAACGTTGTATATCAATTTCACGATGACCACAGAATAAAATTGCCATGGTATTAATATAGAGGAAATAGCATATAATGACGAGGAAATTACAACATTTCATTAACTATACACAAGTAGAAAAGTAGTGAGACCCTCGAATAACTGTCCAAAATTCAAATTTATTGGATCGGGCCATGGCATGCAAATGTGTACGTGCTCCATAATGAAGCACAGGTTGTATGTTATGCTTCAGTCACATTTGCGCGGGACTTTTTTCCGATGTCTGCGATTTGCCGTGAGTATGGTCACACCGCATGGCCCCCGCAAACAATTTGCCAGATAAAATCGAAGAAACATCTGAAGGATACCGTAGGGAGCCCATAAGACTATCGCAAGGATCCCGCATGACGTCTGTGATTTTATCTTCAAATTGTTAAAGTTGGTCAGTACCATGAAGAAGAAGCAGTATCTGACGATGACCGGACTGTGGTACGGTAGCCGGAAGATGTTCGTTCGGCCGTGTGACGGGCGGGACACGTCTATACCACACACCGCTACTGGGGTACCTATCTATACCACACACCACTACTGGGGAACCTATCTATACCACACACAACTACAGTAGTACCTATTTATATCACACACCACTACTGGGGTACCTATCTATACCACACACCACTACTGGGGTACCTATCTATACCACACACCGCTACAGTAGTACCTATCTATACCACACACCCCTACTGGGTACCTATCTATTCCACACACCACTACTGGAGTACCTATCTATATCACACATCACTACTGGGGTACATATCTATACCACACACCACTACTGGAGTACCTATCGATACCACACACCACTACTGGGGAACCTATCTATACCACACACAACTCCAGTAGTACCTATTTATATCACACACCGCTACTGGGGTACCTATCTATACCACATACCCCTACTGGGGTACCTATCTATACCACACACCACGACTGGGGGACCTATCTATACCACACACAACTACTGGAGTACCTATCTATACCACACACCCCTACTGGGTACCTATCTATTCCACACACCACTACTAGAGTACCTATCCATACCACACACCACTACTGGATTGCCTATCTATACCACACACCAATACTGGAGTACCTATCTATATCACACACCACTACAGTAGTACCTATCTATACCACACACCCCTACTAGAGTACCTATCTATACCACCCACCACTACTGGATTGCCTATCTATACCACACACCTATACTAGAGTACCTATCTATACCACACACCACTACTAGAGTACTTATCTATACCACACACCACTACTGGATTGCCTATCTATACCACACACCTATACTAGAGTACCTATCTATACCACACACCACTACTGGATTGCCTATCTATACCACACACCTATACTGGAGTACCTATCTATACCACACACCACTACTGGATTGCCTATCTATACCACACACCTATACTGGAGTACCTATCTATCCCACACACCACTACTGGGTACCTATCTATACCACACACCACTACATTAGTACCTATCTATACTACACACCACTACAGTAGTTCCTATCTATAACACACACCACTACTGGGGTACCTATCTATACCACACACCACTACATTAGTACCTATCTATACTACACACCACTACAGTAGT